AGAGAGAAAATGGAATCATTAACATGGGGCAAATAGAAAAATACACCAAGATGGTAGTTTTAAGCAGACCATACTGGTAGTTATAATAAATACAAATAAACGGTCTAATCCACTAGTATATAACAGAGCTCTCTACTTCAACAGAGGACAGACTTGACAGGTACCTCATGTGACTGAGGACCTGAAGTTTTAATTTTAAATTCAAATAGTCACATGTGGCTCTTGGCAACTTTGTTGGACAGCACCGGGCTCACCACTCCAGTTAAAAGGCACAGACTGTCAGATGAGATACAAAAGCAGGACCCTTAACACTGTTTACAGGAAACCTACTTTAAATATATAAATAGATTAAACGTAAATGGACAGGCAAAGATACGTAAATGCTGATCAACAGAGAGCTGAAGAGCATTTTTTTTTTTTGAGAAGGCATCTCTCATATTTATTGATCAAATGGTTGTTAACAACAATAAAATTCTGTATAGGGGGGTCAATGCTCAATGCACAATCATTAATCCATCTCAAGCCTAGTCTGAAGAGCATTTTTAACATGGGGTAAAGTAGAATTCAGAATTAGGACTGTTACCAGAGAAAAGAGGGATATTTCTTGATGGTGAAGGGGTCAAGTTAGTAAGAAAAATAGCAATGCTACATGTAGAAACACTCAGCAATACGAGCTTCAAAATATGTGAACAAAAACTGAACTAAGAAGAGATAAAGGCAAATCCTCAATTAGGGTTAGATTTCACTCCTTTCACTGCAAATAAGAGGGAAAAAAATCAGTAGGAGTACAGAAGACATTAACAGTGTTATTAACCAAGCTGACTTATTTAACTTTTTATAGAACACTCACACCAACAGAACACAGTCTTTTCTTGTATACATAGAACATTCACAAAGACCATATTCTAGGCCATAAAAACAAATGTCAAATTATAAAAGGTGTGAAAAAATAATGAGTACATATCTGACCACAATGGATTTAAACTAGAATCGATAATTGAAAAATTTCTGGAAAATCCCTGTATCACTGGAAGTTAGAAAACATACTTCTACATAACCAACAGGTTAAACAAGTCACAAAGGAAATAAGAAATACTTTAAACTAAATGAAAATAAAAGCACAACATATCAAAATCTGTGGGATTCACTTAAACCAGTACTGACAGGGAAATTTATAGTTTTAATTGCTCACAGAAGAAAAAAAAAAATGACTTAAAAATCAACATGCTAAACTTCTACCTTAAAAATCAAAAAAAAGGAAAAATTAAGCCAAACTAAGCAAGGGAAGAAGAAAATGAAGAGAAAAGGAAATATCAATGAAATAGAAAACAAATATAAATGAAATAAAAAAAATGGTTCTTTGAGTAGACTTAAAACTGATAAATTTAGCTGGACAAAACCTAAAGACATTAAAAGAATAGACAAATATTATGAACAACTTTATGCCAATAAATTTAAAAACCTAACTATAACAAATTCCTTCAAAGACACAAACTACCAAAGCTATTTCAGGAAGAAATGAAACAGGGGTGTATCTATTAAAAAATTAAATCTGCAGTTAAAATTTTTCAGACAAAGAAAACTCCTTGGTCAGGTGACTTGTGAATTATATAGCAAACCTTTAAGGAAGGAAAAAAATATACTAATTCTACATAAACTCTTCCAAAAAAGTAGGAAAGGAGAAAATACTTCCCATCTTATTTATGAGGCCCTGATACCAAAGCTAGAGGGAAAAACATTATAGAAAATTACAGATCAATATCCATCATGAACATGGAGGCAAAAATCTGAGCAAAACTTTAGTAAATCAATCCAATAAATAAAAATGCCTAATAACCAAGTGAAATTTATCTTAGGAATGCAACATTGGTTTAATATTTTAATACTGATTGTTGTAATTCAGTATTGTAAGAATATAAAAGAAAAAGCACAAGAACAGTTCAAAAGATGTTGAAAAGAAAAACGGACAGAATCCAACATAACTCTTGATAAAAAGAAATAATAGTCACATTGATTTAGGGTCAGACAAGAACACTCTCAACCTGACAGCAGGTACCTTATAAAAAAATGAGAGCCTAGTCATCCTACTTAATGGTAAAAGACTGAATGTCCTGTCCTCCCTCCCCAGCCCAGACTGGGAATAAGGTAAGGGTGTCTGCTCTTACCACTTCTCAACAAGGTACTGGAGGTGCTGGCTAATGTAATAAGGCAAGGAAAAGAAATAAAAGGCATATAGACCGGAAGGGAAGAAGTACAATTGTACATCACAGATGACATGATTGCACACCTAAGGAATCTATAAAACAGGAGCTTGAAGTGAATTTAGCAAAGTCACAAGATACAAGGGCAATATGTAAAAATCAATTTATATCTATATAAATTAATAACCTATAAACAACTGAAAATTGAGATTAAAAAATTCCATTTACAACTCATGAAAAACCATGAAATACTCTGGGATAAATTTAATAAAAAATGTGCAAAGCCTGCACAGTGACAACTAAAACACTTTGTTGATAAAAATCAAAGACCTAAATCAGTGGAGAAAAATACGTTTATGGATAGGATGATGCAATATTATTAAGATGTCAATTTTCCCCAAATTAATCAATATAGATTCAATATAATCCCAATCAAAGTTATTGCTGGTTCTTTTAAGGAATTGGACATTGTGACTCTGTGACTTAAATGGAAATGCAAAGGCGTTAGAGGGTCCAAACACATTTGAAAAATTAGAATACAGTAGGATGACTTACAATGCCTTATTTCAAGACTTTCTATAAATCTACAACAATCAAGTCAGTGTATTACACTGGCACAAACAGATTAATGCAACAGAAATAAACCCACACATACACATAAATTTATTTTTGTGACAAAACTGCCAATGTAATTTAAATAAATGCAGAATTCAACAGAACAAAATGTTGCTGGAATGACTGATTTGACACATGTAAAAAAAATTAAAATCCTTGTCTCTTACCTTACATAATAAACAAAAACTACTAGAAATAGATCTACTACACCAAAGTTTAAAAATCTTTGTGATCCCAAATGTATGGGACATAAAAAACACGAAGCCATTCTTCAAAACCTGTGTTGAAGTATTAACCCACTCATCTTCCCATATTTAAATGTCAGCTCTCCCCAGTATATCTACATCAAGAGCTGGCAAAGTTTTTCCGAAAAGGGCCAAGTTGTAAATATTTTTTGGCTTTGTGGGCCATAGGGTCTATCACAACTCTTTAACTCTGCCATACAGCAGGAGGCAATATGCAAGTGATGGGTAGGACTGCGTTTCAGTAAAGCTTTATTTACAAAGCAGCAGTGGGAACGAAGGCCCATAGTTTGCTGACTCCTGTATTGCCAGTACTCAGTCTAGTATCTGGCATATAGTAGGCACTAATGAATGAAGTTTTAAAAAAGCCATTGTTTTGACAATTAGATGGAAACCAGTACCCAGGAAAGGTGGTTTTAGCAGAATGGTGGGTGTAGAATTGAGATGACAGTGGGTTGAGGGTTAGAGTGGCAGTTAAGGAAGTGGTAACTTCTCTTCCCAGGGTTCTGCAATGTGTGCGGCAGGCTTGTGGAATGCCTCTGTCTCAGCGGAGCAGGTAGACGAGGAGCATGTTTGCTGGCTACAAAGAGGCAGGGCTGGCGTGCTGGCGAGAGAAGGGAATAACCGGGCTATGGGAAGAACTGATGAAGAGGGGTGCCCCAGAGCACAGGTGTGGTGGGGGGCTTGGTCATGGAGGAGGAAGACACCTGCTGTTTTTTTTTACGTGTCAAAAAAGGAACAAGGAAAGGTGGAAGGAAATGAAGGGAAAGCCTCGTATTCCTCTTTCCCATGAAATGTGAGACAAGACCACCTTGTGAAGAAAGTGGACTTGGGAAGGTTGAGAAATCCCAGCAAATGTCAGACTGGGAGGGTTGGCAAACAGGGAGGAGTGGATGCCCAGGGCAGGGCTGCAGGCCTCATCACCATGTGCTATGCCCCCCATTTTCCCCTTTCCTCATCTGCGGGGCACTTCTGACCAAAGTAGCAGTTGGATATTTCAGAGCTGTGTTCTCAGCTCTGACTGCGGGAAGTGTGTCACTCACTGAGTCACTAGTACTACTTGCTACCACTTCCTGTCATTTCACTTTCCCAAGCAGGTAGGGACAGGCAAGCCCTGAGGAGGATGAGGTCATGCTGCAGACATGTGGACATACCCAGTTCTTTCTTGAAGGAAAATGAAAGGTATTTTAACTTCAGAAAGTGGTGATTTTATCTCCATGCCTTTAAATGAGTATGTGTACGCTATAAAATATTTCTAGTTATCTATTGGTATTTTTCTTTCAAAGGAAGAAACCATTTGATTGGGGGTTTGCAATAAAAATAGCATAGAAGCTATTCATTTTACAAATTAAACAAGATATTAAAACATATTAAACAAAACTTCTCACAGGGAGAAGTATAATGTTACGATATTTAAATATTCTGAAAAGTTTTCTCACAGAGTCAAAAACCTATAGCCAGTCAATATCACTTATCCAAGGAACCAGACTCTGAAAAAAATCTTACATTTCAGCATTAATTTATTATTACTGCTACTGCAGGAATGTGTAAGAAGAGTCAGAACTCCTACTTTTCAGGAAGAACTAAACCATCTAAATATCTTGGTTGATATTCTGAAAGAACGGTATTAGGACCTGTTTTCTTCTGTCCTATTTTAAGGTATAAATGCTGTTGATATTTATAGATTTAAAGTTGTATGTATACCCGACTAAGTAAAACTTTAATTCAAATTTCCATTTTGAACTTCTCACTAACAAACCAAAAGACAGTCCCCAAACCCACCCATCTTCCTGTACTCTTACAGGTCCTTCCAGAGATGACAGAAGCTACTGCCTCTGAATTCACTCTGTGTAAACTGACGTCCACGCCCATAACACACTTTCGATTTCTAAGGACTTCCAAAACATCTTTAGATGTAGATTCAATAAACTTAATCTCTTACCCTATTGTTGGATTGATGTTCGGATCAAAACTGTCCTCCACGAACCGCCATACAATACTGGATTTACCTACACCTGTATCCTGGAAAAGAATGAGATGGGTGAAGAGAAAAAAGTACTTGCTTGCAGACATCACAACTACCTTGTGCTGTAAGTTTAGGATTTTAGAAAAACTGTCCTGGACAGGTAAATTTTATAAGTTATGGGACACAAAGGGGGTTTTCATAAAGATTCAGAGAATACACTAATTAAAAGATCTCAAAATGTATTGCAGTGAAGGGGTTCTACAGTTTCTAAGAGACATCACGACCTTTTAAAAGACCGATAGTTTCTGCTTAGTGTAAAAAGTGACAAACTCGCTTTTTAACATGTAAAAGTAAACTGTAAACTTCTGAATTACTTCTGAGTAATTCCTGATAAATCCCAGTCCCACCCTACTTGGGAAACGGGAGACTAGTTTTTGGGATCCTTTCCAGTCTTTAATGCAGCAACTCAGTCAAGAGAGCATCAACTTCAGCAACTATGCTCTGAAATGGCAACGTTGCCCTGACAAGACGGGAAGGAAGCTCCAGTTTCTAACTAGTTTTTGGAGTTTCCGGATTGGAATGTTTCCCCAGGAGAGTAATTCTTCCAGAAGTGTCAGAGGTATCCCACAAGTTCAAAAACACCAAACAGACGGGAAAGGAGACTATTAAAGCCTAGAGACCTGTTCGTGGTTTTACTTTGGAACTTGGCCAACTCCTAACTAGTACCTTGGAAGGAAACTATTTAAAAAGCTCCTTTTAACCCAGATGCAACGAAGAGGCAGGAACTTGACCCTTTAGGGGGGAGGGAAGAGTCCTGGGGCTCCAGGGAGGGCACAGAGGGACGGACCCTCCTGCCAGCTGGGCTTGAGGGGGGTGTGGCAGGGGGGGGGGGCACGACGGCCCGGGGGTCCAGCGGCAGGTGGGCGGCGCCCCGCGAGGAGATGGGGGAAGGGGCGAAGGGGCGGTGGGCGCGCCGGGCTCCCCCCGCCCGCCGAGTCCTCCGCGGCCCCGCGGCCGGGCCGCCGGCACTCACCCCCAGCAGACACACTTTGAGCTCCCGCAGAGCCATGGCCCGGGAGCCAAGGGCGCGGGCCCGCCGCCGCCCTAGGCTGAAGAGGGAGAGGCCGGGCCCCGCACTCGCATGCCCCGGCGCCGCCGCCGCCGCACGGCCCAGCCCCGACTGCGGGGCGCGCAGAAGCGGCGGCCGCTCGCTCGCCGGCCCTCGGCCCGGCCCGTTCGCCGCCGGCCGCGCAGGGCCCGTCTCAGCAGCCGGGAGGGTGCCACGGCCTCCCGAGCGCCACAGCCGCCGCCATCTTGGGACGCCGGCCCGGTCACCTGACCTCCCCGCCCACCTCAGCAGCCACCATCGCCGCGAGGGCGGGGCCCGGCGAGGGCGGTGAGGCTCGAGGGGAGGTGCTGGCCCGGGGGCGGGGCCCGGAGTATGAGACCCCGCCCCTCACCCCCGGCCCCGCCCCTAGGCCCATCCCAAGATGGCGGGTGAGTGGGGCCGGGCTCCCGGGGCGCCGCGGCAGTCCCTCCCCTTCCCCCATGCCCGGACCACCCCTCGAGGCCGGGGACCCCCGCGCGCCCCTGAGCCCGCCTGCCGCAGCCCCTTCCTAACTTCTTGTGTAACTCTTGGTTTTCAGAGATGCCCTTGTACTTCGTGGGCTTGCAGGATGACAGACGATTGTAAGTAACAGTTGGGGCGCACCCGCCCCTCCCTCGGAGCCTCCCGCAGAATCCAGGGAGCACCGACCCCGGAGCGGGAGCTGCAGGCTGGGCCCTCCACGTTGGGACCGAAAGTGCGAGACCCTCAACTGCCTTGATCCACTTGTGGACGACTCTCCTCAGTGGGCTGGGCGGGGCGGGCCGGCCGAGGATGGGGGGACCTCCCCTGCGGAGGGAGGATTTTTGTTGATGGGGAACTTGTGACTTCTGTCACTCTATTTACCTCTTCCTCCTGCAGTAGCCCGGCAGGGGCGGGAGATGCTGGGTGGGAGGAGGCGGGGCCGCCTTGAGGTTGGGGGACCCCCCACCCAGGGTCTCCACTTTTTCCCTGGGACCTGTCAGAGTGCTGGGAGTTTGGGAAGTTTGGGAGGTCGGGCTCTCTGTGCGGCCGGCCGCGGAGTTGCACAGACTTCTCAAGTGTCCTGGCCTCAAGCCCAGCTCTCTCTCTTATCCCTAGAAGCTCAGGTCCCCGCATTTCTTTCTCCGGAGGGTCTCCCTCCCTTGTCCATTTCCTGGCCTCTTCTTTTCTTTGCAGTCACTTTAAGGACTGACGGCTTGGGGAGGTGGCATCCTCAAAGTGCAAGTTAGCGTTTTGGTGTGAATGAAGCCCTTGCTTTACATTCAACAAACATTTCTCGAGCGCCTACTATCTCTTCTGGTCCAGGCCACGTGAAAGCCCTGGACCTACAAAGATGAACCAGAAACAGGGGCAACTCTCAGGGTAGCTTACAGCCCACGGGGAGAGCAGACTTGTAAACAGAAAATTAGCACACCCCAAGATGATGGCTGGTGAAGGAGGCCTGTACAAACATCTCGATAGCTAACTTTAATCGCGGGCTTACTATATACTCTTCCCTTCCCCATCTATGAGTTTCCTAATCATAAAGCATTGGTGTTTATTGAAAACTTACTGTCAGTCAGGCACAGTTTTAAACCCTTTACACACATCATCTTTTTATAGGGAGGCAAATATTTTAAAGTAGAATGACCTTGAAGGGACAGTAAAGCCAATGGTTATGAGAATGGGTTCTGGCATCAGATGGTGAGAGGGTGAAGTCCTGTGCCACTCCGCAGGCTGTGTGATCCTCGCCAGGTCACTGTATCACTGAGTGGCTTCATCTGTAAAATGGGCATACTGGTGGTCCACGTCAAAAGGCTTTCTGAAGTTTAAGTGAATAAAATGTTCAGGATGAAATCCTGTGCCTAAGGGTAAATGTTAGCTGCCATTATTACTGTTATTAATGTGATCGTTGTTTATATTTATTTAACACTGTTGAGCCAGATAAAGTATAGGCTTCCGGTTTAAAGACAATGGGCATCCTTGAATGGAAGGAATGTGGTATGTCTATTGATAAACAATAGTGAGTTGCTGTTAAGGCACATCTCATTCACAGATCTGTTATTTGGCCTGCCTGGAAAAGCTGAGTTCTTGCTGTTTCAGTTACTTGGCAAACCACCCCAAAATGCAGTGGCTTCAACCAACAGTGTTTATTATTTCTAACAATCCTGTGAGTTAACTGGGTGATACAGAATCTTCCTGTGTTCTCAGTTCATGTCTGGGGAGGTCAGAAGGTCCAAACTGGCTGCACCCACATCACGTACCAGAGCCTCAGCTCTCTGCAGGTGCCTTTTCCCCTTGGCCAGGTTGGGCTTCTCAAAGCATGGTGGCCTCAGGCAGTTGGAACCTCTTTCCTGGCAGCTAGCTTCCTTCAGTCTGTTTTAGACATATGTACAAAAAGGAAGGAAGGGATTTTATAGGAAAAAGTAATTCTGATTTTACTTTGGCCCTGTTTAAACAAATACTGGGTGTTTTGAGACCTGTAATGACAAAGGCCTGTAGTACCCCTTGGCAGATGGCTGAAGATTTGCCCCATTTTAGAAGGCTATCCCCAATATGGCTCTGAACATACCCATGCCTTGGGTAGGATAACTCTGGGGGCCTCCTGTGGCTTCCTGTTTGAGCAGCAGCAGGGGCTGTGGGATGTTGTACCTTACAACCGTACAGTATATTTGATCTAAAGTCATAATAGGAGGGCCTGTTCCCTCCAAAAATTTATGCTGTGTTGGGTCCCACCTTATTTGGGGGCATTGTTGCACCATGATTGGCGACAAGGACCCTGAGGTCTTGACACCTACTTCCTGCCATTAGCTATGTCAGCTTGGACAGATCATTCAGTTTCTTCATCTGGAAAATGGCAGAATAGAAGATGCCTCATAGGACTGGTGTGAGGATTAGATGAGCCATACATAAAACCTTTCATCCCAGAGCCTGGCATAATGAACGTTATACTCAACGATTTGATTATTTTGTAGTCATCATCATCATTGCTAGGCTTTCACATACCATTTTCTGACTCAGTGTTAACAGCTGCTACTCTATGAAGTAGATGGGATTATTCCTATTTAATCAATAATAAAATAGAATCAGAGAGGGTAAGTAATCTATCCAGTGTGGCACAGCTCATACGTGATAGAACTAGAAATCAAACTGTTCCTTCTGACTCTTTTTATTCTGCCACACAGATGGGCTGCACAAATATTTTTAACGTAATGGTAGGAACATGAATGTCAGTTTGGGTGGTTCTGTGTCTGTTGTCCTCCTTGGGCGTTTTTGTCTAAATGATGCGATAATCACTCCATTTAGGCTATAAGTTGCCTTGGACCCAGGTCATCCTTCTTATAACCCAATGGCCTGCATGAGTTAGGTGTTCAGTTAATGTTGTTACTGGTAACAGTAATGGATTACGAGGCTTGTCTGATTTACTTTGTAATTCTTGATTAAATTTGGCTAACTTCAAAAAGAAGCCTTAATGAATGGATGCCTCATTTTTTTAAATCATTCAGAGTCCTTGGGCCATTACAGCACAGAAAAGATTTAATTTTAGAGAATTAGCTTGCTGAAGCCATCTAAATTCCTTCTCTTGAGAGCGGAAAGTGTGTGGGACAGCCTGGCCTATCTGTCCTGGTGGTGGAGTGAATGTGGAGGGAGGAACTGTGCGACTCTGTGCCCGTGGGGCTTAAAGGCCTGAGAATGTCTGGGTGTGCTGATAGCTTGTGGTGGCCAAAGGGACCTGACTCTTGGTGAGGTCTGCCTGGCCAGTTAGAACTTGAGTGTATGCCAGCGGTGGGTAAAAAAACGGGGGAATCTATTGCAGAGAGAAGAAAAACCTAAGCAACCTGTCAACAAAATGCAATATGTGGTCATTTTTGGACCCTTAATTAAACAAATCAGCTATAAAAAGACATTATTGAGACAATTGGGGAAAACTGAACTTGGACTGGTTATTAGATTATATTAGGAATTATTTATTTTGTTGGATATGACAGTGCTGTCACAGTTTTATTCAAAGGAGAAGGGCTCATCTGACAGGAACAGGTATCCAAGGGTGAAATGATTTGATGTGTGAGATCTGTTTTCAACAGCGCAACAAACAAATGTACAGAAAGTTGGGAAGAAAGATAAATGGGAACAAAATGGCAGAGTCAGTTGGTACTTGATGAAGCTGATTGCTGGAGATGTGGGGTTTATTATACTATTCTCTCTGTTTTTGCATACATTTGAAAAGTTTCATAATAAAAAGCTTAAAAAAGAGAGACAAGTTTCACGTATGATCAGACATCTGCAGGGAGAGTCAGAAAGCTGGACTTCAGTCCTGAAGTTGGCCGCACAGTCATTGCAAGATGCATTTAGCTTCAAAAGACAGACTCCTGAAAATACTGGTATTTGGGAAACAGTGTATTTCTTTTCAGATGTTTAGTTTTTAAAGGTATCTGTCAAAGAAGTTGGAGGAGGGCACACTTCTATTGATGAGAAAAGCTAGGTACCATCAAATGACACCTGGACCTTTGCTGAAAACAGGATTGGCCAAGTCAGAAAAATACAGAGGCTCTTCGAACCTTAGTGCTGGAAAGGGTACGGTACGTTCAATCTTGAATAGAAGACATCCTCTGGAACAAAAAGCATTCCATTTCACCTGCCTACTTTGTTCCAGGTTTGTAAAAATGTTTAGCTTAAGGACTACAACCAAGCTGTGTGCCCCCAAAGCAGAGAAACTAATTATTCGAGCCCCAAACCAAACTGTTGAATTTTTTCTCAGAACTATAATATAAACTTGAATCAAAGATTGTCAGTTTTTTTTTTTTTTTTAAAAGGCTCCTTGTTAAGTGAAACAGTTTGAACAGGAGCAGAAACTTGAGTATGCTAATACTTGGGAAATTGAACAAAATCTAGACATGGAACTATTCTTTAAGTCAGAGATGGGAAAATTTTTTCCTGTAAAGGATCAGATAGTAGATATTTTAAGCCTTGCTGTCCAGAAGGTCTGATGCAACTACTCAAGTGTGCTGTTGCAGCATGTAAGCACGCACACAAATGAATGGGCATGGCAGTTTCCTAATAAAGCTTTTATTTACAAACACAGGCAGTGGGCTGGATTTGGCCCTCTGGATGTAGTTTGCCAGCTCCTGTTCTAAGTCAAAACTTGATTTCATTCTGTCGGAGCCCCTCAGTCTGTCCATTAGCTGAGCCAACTTGAAATGCTGTGTTCCCCACTGGGTTCAGTTTGAAGAGCTGGGCTTTCTGCCAGCCCAGCCTCTGCTTTGTTGAGTGACCCTTGACTAGTTGCTCAAACTTTGCATCTCATTTTTCCTGTTGGTGTATTAAGGATAAAAACATGTACCTATTTCTTCCCAGCAGGATGAGGGTGGCAGGAACGAACGAGTCCGAGTGGTGGATGCAGCCTCAGCTCTGCTTCCCCCTCCAATAACTGTAATACATTTTACGTTTGTTGCTCTGTATTTTCCATTTCCTGTGAGACAGATGAACATCAGAGATCCCCTGAAAGTGTCGGTTTAGAAAGAGTTTTAAATGGCTTTCTCCATCCCAAATTAAGATTTTTTTAAACAGAAATTTGGAACAAAACCTAGCTAATGAAAGGGAAAATGTTTTTGACCTTCAAAAC